AGTGAGATGACCCCTACATCCACCTTTTGTCATTCTAAGGAGGAAAATGAAAATGCTTTCTCTGGTTTTAGCCTCTTGCTTAGCCATTGCAGTAAATGATTAAAGGCTTAACTCTTCCATTTTGGCTTGCTGCTTTAATCAACTACTTGAACTCTTGACAGCTCAGCTCTTTCTCAACTCAGCTGAACTCTTGAAACTGATACTGTTTCATACTACACCATCCAGAAGCTTCAAGCCTTATAGAATGATAGAGGGGCCTTCTGAAGCCTCAACCAAGGCACCAGTGTGGCGATATTGTGCAAGGAAGGGATACCACCTCCAGGACATGGTATATACCTTAAATCAATAACCACTGTAAGGTGCAGGATGCCCGTTAGATAGAATACAAGGGTCCAGGACACAAGAGGTGGAAGAAGTGGCCCTGCTCACCATCTATTCCAGTGATCCACTTGGGAAATTATTTACTCCCTTCCTCACAGCTTGAGACTATATATAGAGGTCCTGGTTCTCAGAGACTTAACACTTCCACAAGGAGACACAGTAGAACCCCATAAACTTGAAACTACAGCTGCTGCTCTGCCATTTTGTTCCTTATGCCAGAACCCAGGAGGCAAGGAAGAGTCACGATATTGGCAGGTTTAATTGACCTGATTGGCAGGAGGAGGGAGGACAGCTGTTACACAATGGGGGTTGGGGAAAATGTTTGACACCAGGTAATTCAGTAGGGCTTCTTCTCATACAACCAATAACCAGTTTTAGTCATGACCAAAGAAAGGTATGGTGACCAATGACTCAGGCACCTCAAGTAAGCCACTTAAACCAGTAAAGGTGCTGGCTGAGAGTGAGGGGAATCTAGAAAAGGTGGAAGAGGAGTCAGTCATGATGAGTATCAGTTGTAGCCACAAGATCAGCTACAGTTGCAAGAGCTATAATTTATCCTACTAAACTTCCTCTTGTAAGTTTCCACACGAAAGAGCCAACTAGGATCCTGGAGGTGCTGTTCCCAGATGCAGTGAGTTAATTATACCAAGCAAGTGGATGGACAGATGCAAGGGTGGGCTGTGGTGGATGCTGTGATGTGCCACCCAGATACCCTCTTCAGGACCTCATTCCCCACCAGCTGCTGGGAGTGTTGGCTGTTGAAGGCTCATAGCCATATTTCCTTCTGGGAATTGCCTGTGACCAAAAGAAGCTGCTTCACCTAAAGTTACACTTCCTCCCCAAGGGCAGCCTGCATCCAATGACTGGTTTTGTGCTGGGGTCAAGACCTTCCTTTTGATTTGAGACAACTCAGAGGGACCATCTGACCCCCCGAGTGCCCCATGGGAATAGCCGAGGTCTTCAATGCAACCACATCACAGCTCAAGTTCTCCCTCTACGCAGTCATTCTTTCCTTATCTCCACTAGGTATTGGTCCTGAGAGCACTCCCCTATACCTATCCTGCACATAAACCCTTCTCAGAGTCCATTTCTAAAGACTAAGATAATGAGCAAGATATAATCTGAGTTAGCACCCTCTGTGTGAAATGCAATAAAGAGAGCCACAATGAAAAAAATCAGAAATCCAGGTTCAATGCAATCCAATGAACTGTATATATTGAAAGCTAGAAAGATGCCCTAAGAAATTATCAGAATACATGTAAAAACTAAATGTGGGCTCAAATTACCCTAAAAATTGGCAAGGAAAAAAATTGAAATGGTACTACCATAATGTTGGAGAGTATACAATTTTTCTGGATAGTCTGGCAACATATACCAAGGGTATTAAAATGTTTTGTCCTTTGACTCATTAGTTCCTCATCAAAAAGTCATCTAAAGATTTAACCAAAGTTATAAAACTATACTACATGGATGGACTTTATAGTAATCTAGATATCCATTAAAATAATGCTGAAATGTATCAACTGAAAAGATGTTCATAACATGTTATTTAAAAAACAGCTTGTCCAAGAATGTTTCACATGGAAGGATGTACATCACTAAAATGTTAAATAATATTTATGTGATACAGTTTGGGGTGGTTTTATGTGTATCTCTGCTTTTTTTTCAATGACTGTATATTAACTACAATTGTTAAAATTATAATTTAATATAAATCGATGATTATTTTGCCTTCCAATAGATTATCTCATTTTACAGGAAATACCATAATTAGAATCCTCCATTTCTTTTATATAACTTTATGCATTTTAGTATATTTGCATATTCATGCAATTTGTAGTTGTATTCATATCCTGCCTCCATCACTAGGTTGTAAGTTTCTAAGAGCCCTATCTACAAAAATGGCTGCCCACTGCAGGATACCCCAACACTGATGACCCAAGGACAGAATGTATACACTGAAGGAACTGTAACACAGAAGGAACAGTAGCAGCACAAACCATGATAGCCTTTTGTTCCTGTTAATTAAAAATAAAACAGCAACAACACCCACACACATCATACCCTGAACATTCTCACTGAAGCACTGCTAGGAATCAGACTAGCCGTCCTTGTTGCCTCGAACATACTGTGCAAGCGAGTGCTTTCTAAAAAGTTGCTATCAGTCATACAATCCTAATTGCTAAAAAGAGCATCAGCCTTTTGGTTTTGTATTTGTTTTCTTTAATCACTTCAGAATAACTTGGTAGTCTTGCATTCAGATCAAGAAAATGTTTCATTTGGTTCCATCTGAACTGCTTTAAATGTGTCCTTTGCTGAGTTGCCTGTCAACCCACTAGTCTGCTATGCCCAGGATGAGTCTCCTGGGGCTGATAAATATGGACAACCCATGATGCCTGCACAACCTGCCACAACAGCACATGAAGAGTACAAATATCTTTATGTCTTGAAGAACGGGGTGTGAAATTTCCTTTTTCAATTTCAAGCCAAGGAGATGGATTTTATCTCTGTGAAACACTGGGTAATAATGGGACCCAAAACTGTAATCTAAACGATTTGGCTGGTTGAGGATCAATATCAAAAAGAAATGAATTATATCAAAGTCTTCAGTGTGATCCAGTGTGCCAGGCCCTCTAGAATGGAAGCTCCATGACAGACAGGGACTATTGTGTATTTTGCTCACTGAGGTATCACTAGTTCCATCTTGGTACTGACAGGTAGTCAGTGCTCATTATTGTAGGTGCTCACATTTGTTGCATGACGGAATAAATGAATGAATGAAGCAAAGTTTGGGAACTGCTGAGATTTTAGGGGCACCATGTAGCTTCCACTGCCCAAATAATCCATTACCATCAGCAGATTGTAACCTGTACTTCTAATTGATTTGCCTTAAGGTTCTTATTTCACTTAAAATGAAAACACCCTATGCATTGGTAAGAGAGTAAATTTGTACAACCTATTGAAAAGCAGTCTGGCAATTTAATTATGTAAAAATGTAAAATGTTTATTCCCTTTTACCTAGAACCAGCCCTTATAGAAAATCCTCCAGTAATACACACATACAAAGATGTTTATTGTACTGTTGTTTTGAAGAGGGGGTGAGGGCAAAAAAAGGTGGGAAAAAACTAACCTAACATAAATATTCGTTGGTAGGGGATTGGTTAAGAAATTTAACCACTCACTCTCCTCTTCCATTAATCAAAGATTCTCTGGGGCCTTGACTCACTGTGTCCTCCAGGGCGCTTCTTAAAGGTATGAATCAGTTCCTCAATGGAGACAATGGGGAAGCCTGAGAGGCACAGAGGGCAGGAGACATCAGCAGGTGGCTAAGAGTGCTCATGGAACTAGAATGAGAGACAGGTAGGCCTGGGCGGATCTGAAGGGGAACATAAGAGCATCTGATATAGTGGTTATATTTTTTAAAAAGAATGCTTATCTTTGAGAGATACATAATGGAATATTTACAAAAGAAATTATATGATGTTAGAAATTTGTTCCCAAATAAGCAGCTGATATCAGAAGATGGTGGGGTTATAAATCCAACATAATTAGACTAGGTGATGGACACATGACAGTACATGACCTATTATCATCTCTACTTTTTTATATATTTGAAATTTTCGTTAATAAAAAAGTTTTTAAGAAAATGTACTCTTTTGTTTCTTAGATTTTAAGTTTTCCCAAGTTCTCAGTTTTAATTAGTCAATAAAAATGTGTGACATCAAGCCAAAAGATAACAACCTAAAAAGAAAACAAACTAAATCAAGGCAGAAAACTGTATGTGCCAATTGAGTGATGTGATGTTTTCAGAGTTCAGAGAAAGGATGGAGAACCATAACCTAGGAGGTCAGAAAGCCTCATGGAGGAGGCGGAACAGTAAGTAGACAGGTCTAATGATAACGGACACGTATCTTATGTTGGTAAGGGGACTCTGATACCCTGGATGTGGGAATGCCAGCCACAAATCAGC